TGAGTGGCATATGTGGAATCTATTTTTCCATTCTGGAAACTATTTTTGTGTTCCTTCAGGCGGGCTTTGAACGTTCTTTCAGTTTCACCTATACAAAACATCGGACATAACCCACATGATGATTCATACACTCCCGTTTTTTCTGAACCTGAACTATTATCTTCGTTATTCTTAATGTGCATGCCTAAGTTGTTGTTGGTTTTGAAAGCAATATTCACTTCTTTGTTGTGCAGAAAATCTGAAATATTTGTAGTAGGTTGGCCTAAGTAGGTTAAGGTTCTATAACTTCTATCCCCTTCCTTCGAATTGGGTAAACTTCTTTCAAAGCATGGGTGTATCACTTTTTTGATAATAAACAATGTATTAGACTGCTATTGTACCTTATCATTGTTGATGGCTATTTGTTTTATTATGTTCAGTTCTAATTGAAACGTGACAAATAGTGTATTGTTTGAACTAAAATGATGGCTACATGATATACATTAAAAACCATTCAACCTACACCGCGGACATAAAACAGTTGAATAACATGAAAATTATCATATTGAAGACCTCTCTACATGATATATCATATCAACAATATACAGATCCCCATCGACATGTCCATATGAATACAACAACTCTCTTAATAACTTTCTGGAACAAAAAGTCAATAACAAAGAAGATGCAAATATATATTCGTGGAGACATCAAAATCAATATTTCAGATAACAATGATTACGGAATTGAATATTTGAATATCTTGAACTCATTTGGATATATGTCAGCAATAAATGAATATACCAGAATACAAGGAAACTCCAAAATATGTATTGGCCACATATTTATCAACAACAAACTAAAAATTCCACTGTTACCCTATAATCATACATTCATCCATCACGGATCATTTGCCAATTATACTACAGATAAAAAATTCACAACCTAAATATCAAAGCTCGAGCATCCATAGTAAATATACCTACATACTTCCTTAACAAAAAGAAATTTTGTGAACAACTTGAATTATAATCTTGGGACGATATTTATAAAGAGAAAGATATTAATACAATGTCTACCATGTTTACTAACAATTGAAACCAAAAAATTGAGAAAAGCACGGAAAAAGTGATAAATAGACGTTCAGAAATGAAAAGGAAGGAATGGATTACAAGTGGACTAATAAAATCGATTAACACTAAAAACATGCTGCACAAAAATTGCGTGTCAATCCTAACAATAGACCCTTACAAACCCAATATAAAAAATTTAAAAACAAGTTAAATGAGACAATCGGAAATGCAAAAATAAATTTTTACAAAAATCAAATAAACAAATTGAAAAATACCCCAAACAATCTTTGGCAGGCTCTAAAAACTTTTGATGATACTATCATGCAAATTGAAATGGAAGACAAAATTATGCTCACAAGCAAACAAGAGATGGTAGAATGTTTTGTTGATCACTACACAAAAATTGGCAAAAAAAGCTACTTCAATAGGAAATAAAAAATATACTAGAAGTAACAGTAACCGCACTTCAGTCAACTCGTTCTATCTAGATGAAACCAACGAAAGAGAAATACGGGAAATAATACTCAAGCTAAAAACCAGGAAACCTCCTGGTATTGATAGAATAAAATCTGAAACATAAATAGAATTTTTCGATTATCTAACTGAACCCATTTCATTCATATTGAACGAATCCTTGCAGTCAGGTATATTCCCGGATATTTTTAAGCACTCCATCATAAAACCCATATATAAAACGGGAAATAAAATGAAAGTTATAAAATATAGTGGTATCAGTTGTTCAATGCATCTGATGACCAGAAAAAACCTATGCTTAACAGTAGTATTTCTGACTGTCCACTGTCAACTAAGGAAACAACTCTATAATATGTGGCTAGTGGACACACCTCTATGCAGGATGTGTGAACAGGGAGATGAAACTGTCAGACATTCCCTATGAGAGTGTCCGGAGTTATCAGCAATAAGAGAGTGTGTGTTCGGTAAGTCTTGGCCTACACCTGCCGATATAAAGATGTCTCCTAGTGATCTGTCCAGCTTCCTGGAAAGGAGAGGATGGACGATGACCTAGGAAGACAACTCCTCGGGAGGATGTACAATGGGTCACATGTGGCCTAAGAGCTGTGGCCCTACACTCACACTCCCTATTCTACAGATACAGACAGATCATTTTTATCCGAATATCGACATTATTTTAAAACTTTTTTACGAAAAACCAAAATAAAATTATGCCTTTCGGACCCATTACACACACCCATTACATAATACCCTGTACTTACAAAACATGATTCGTCTTGTAACATTGTTGTGTAATCTACTCGAACATTCCACTACAACTTCCATCTAATATACAAATTATGGCAGAGCAATGATAATTGTCTCATAAAGGTTATGAAATACTGTAGTGGGAAGGTACGCAGAGTACTTAACCTGTCATTATGAACTCTAGAGTTATTTGATGGTGTGCTGAGCTGAAGAAACTCATAAAGAAAAGTAACTGAAATATTGCAAGATGTCAATGTTAGGATCGTGCTGGTATTGAAGAAAAATATCCCCCACACAACCATGGTAATTTCGACTTTACAAAAAACATTCATATAATATCATATCAAATATTATCAGCTGAAATAATCGATATTAGAACAGAATATCAATTCTGAAATTGAATCAATTTCAGTACCTGAATAATAGAGAAAAATCTGTAGGAATATTTGTTCAAAATATATGAACCTACGTAAATAACTTCGTATTTTTCAACAATAACATTTATTTCGGTATTTTGCTGGTTACATCACCAATACGTCGCTTATTTCTTCGATTTCATTGAAATGTGAATTGAAAATATCTTCTACGAATAAGTTTGGATAATGTTCTTGAGATTTCTGAATATCTTTGTTGAATTGTTGGTATTCCAACAATTTAACAACATTCCATCGGTGAGTTTCAGTTGAATAACATATTCATTTCAGTCATCTCAGTTGAGTTAGGGCATAGTCACTCATCAATGGTCACTGTCATAATCATAATATCAATTTAAACCTGTGATTTTCTATAGTACCATTATTGTAAAGTTCTAATATTCAGTCAGTATGAAACAGTGTAACAGTTCGCCTTATGAGAAGACGTCCTGTATTTTATTTTTAATTTTGTGGTCTCACATATTTGTCTAAGTAGGAAAAATTAAAGTTGATAGGGAATCGAGAAATGTCGGAAGATTTCCAAAAGAAAATGATGCCTTACTGAACGGATGTATATATGATTTGTACGTGCTAAAAGCATATTTCTTGACTACAAGATACAGTGGGTTTTATTCATATAGTTACTTTGTAAGGGCCAGACGAAAAAACTCATTATTATTGATAGCTGGAGACACTTCGTTTATAAAACACTGTTGAGTCCTTTGAAAAGTCAGCGATAAGCTGGGAACGGTATGCTAAAAACAAATTAAAAATGGCCAAAATACTTAACGAATCACGAAGCGACCGAAAGACCTATGTGATAAAATTGAATTTTCTGATTGGTCGTGTGGGCCTTAACTTTCCCATTCAATTTTAAGAAGGAAATATCCGCTGACTTAGGGAAATGGAACGCATAGAGTGGGTTTGTTGGGAAGTCGAGAGGTGTTCGTCGGTGGTTTTGGGTCGTCGAAAGGTCGAGTTGAGAAAAATTAATTAGAGGAGAATTTTTTGTGGGGAGAAAAAGTCGTGAAACTAATAAATTATTCGAAAGAGAGGAGCAAACGGGAGGTCAATCGCGAGTTATTCGAATAGTGTGATTTTCGAGGTACTTTTGGGAGTTTGGGGAAAAACCCGGTTTTTTTTCCCTTTTCGGTTGCCAGTTCAACCGAGTGAAATTCTGGTTTGGTGTTTTGTGTTAAATTCAGTAAAACATAAAAGGATTAGCCGCTGTCTACAGTTAAACGGAGAAAGTTTTAGGGTTTTTTCGTCTGGTAGCTAATCATATACTTTTATTGAAATACTGTGGGTGAACATTTATTTAAATAGCTTGTATCATAAAGAGTTGCCGAATAAAGGGCATGTTTATGAATATTCAATCGCATGCCGGTTGAGCGTTCTCTTACTAGGTTAATGTGTTCCTTTTGATGGTTTGGTTTTTTGTTTATTTTGTTGTTTAAATCATATTTGTAACTTTTGCATTTCTTATCTATTTTTTTTATTATACTTAATAACTTTGAATTCGGTGTATTTTTGGTGGTAATTATACTGGTAGGTGGTTATTATACTGGTAGGAGAAACAGGGGAAAAAGGGAAACGTAAAGTATATTCATATCTCACAAAAATAAGGGAACTCCCTAGGAAACGTTCATATAAGAGGTATCAATGGCATATCCCGACAAAGCGCCTTGAAGGACTTGAGTGAAAAAGTTTTCTATTCTGAAACAGTGCCTAATTGATGAGGAGAAGCCAAGCCGAACCTTTGGAGGGTGATCACTTCTGCAGGCAACATCTCCATTTCTAAATTTCAAATGGTGACAGCGGCTGCTCTAATCTTAAGTTTTGGCTATAGTTTTCCCTATCAAAACTGACAAATATAAAGATCAACTCGGTCGATAGCCAGTTGAACAAACTTGTAATTTTGTTCAATAAATTACAATTATTATTATCATTATTATAAAGATCAAGGTGTTTTTTGTTTTCCTCTATATAAGCCTAGCATTTCTACAATGGCGGCTTCCTATCAGAAAGTATCTTCCTCTTTAAATACAGAGTTCAAACCCTAGCGGTTACAACAATTATATTTCATTCCATCGATTCAATATTATCAGGACAGTGACAGTGATTGAAATTGTAAGAATGATACATAACTAGGGCCTGAGAATAATGTATGATTAAAAATTAATGACACCTAAATCTTAATTTCATGGACGTCAGATTAATCGCTGTTAGAAAGAAGTGTTTCATTGCTGTGGCTTAGCATTCAATTTGTTCTTCATTTTATTTGGTTTTAAGGAAATAATTAGAAAAACTATTGTAGGTATATCATAATTTTTATTACTATTCTAGGAAACGAATCTTCATAAGCGCATGCTCTCCACACCTCCACGTTTATTATTGACGCTTACGAATCGTTGTGGTTTTGTTATTCTGCAGTAAAGTTGACAGTATAATTTCTGAAATATAATTTTCAGATATCACAGACTTTTCATTCCCAAACTAAATGTTTCAAATAAGATCACAATACCACCATTCCACAGGTATTATTGGACTTCTTGAAGTGTGAGGAAGTCCGTTCGGTCCCGATAATTTCAAATGAGTTGCCAACTTCTTATAAGCACTCGATCTCTTACACTGAAAATTAAAAAAAAAAATATTGAGGTTTTTCTAAAAATATATCCTTTCAATTCAAGCATTTTCCAGATATCCTACAGAGATTAAATTCGAGTCGAAATTGATATTTCACATCACTAAAACGTACCTATAGGTCTTAGCAATATTCAAAAACATATGGCGCTAATCATAGTAGTCGAAACACCTGAGGTGCAATGGTCATTAGAGAAACTGATGATGGTCATTTCCGAAAATTCTAAAAAAATCGTGTACTGAAACTGTTTTAGTCATCTCTTGATAATGCTAAATCGGGTAAAGAAACGTGCGTTGAAAGGCAGTACTTTTGTTCCGGTGTTGAAATACTGTTTTAGTGTGTGGTACGCCTAATAGCAAATACCTAGTGCTAGATCGCTCCGTGAAATTTACAAAATTTCAGTATAAATATATTTTCGTATCATTTCAAATCAACAAAGTATTTTCTGAACATTGTTTACTTTCATATCAAGAAGTGACCCAATGAACAGAACTATCTAATCCAAGTGAATCTCGATGGCTGTCAAATTGTGAGCACAGAAATAGGAACTCAATAAAAAACACCG